CGAATATGTGAATCATAGAGGCCTCAATATTACTTTCCGATCAGTCATTCGTGCAATATTATCATGCAAGTCAGTGAAAGTGTTCCGACCGTCGTGATCGTACGATATTTTTTCCGCAACTCACGGTAGCAGTTTCATTTCGCTCACATACCATTTTTCAATATAAACGAAGCATCATTCGACAGACGACTAAACGACAAATGATTCTAATTAAAAACTTTCAAATATGAATTACGTCGATCGCTGACAGTGCGACACCACTTCATGCACGTCAAAGTAATATTTACGTTATGAGGCACGGTTGCCAGTGGTAACGTCAGACGCTCACGACAATTTTTACTTACCGATCCTGTTTTTTGCCGAAAATCTTCAATCCACGACATTTCAACCATCGTCTCAACCTGTCCACGGAATTTTCAAGTATGTCGGATGCAAAAATTTTGCTCCTGGTACATCGTCTTCAGTTAAGGCAATACGTATAAACGCTTGCGAAGCCGCCATATTTTTGGTTTGTTTGTCCGAGTGACATCCGGGTAAATAGCCTCATGAATATTATGCAATGACATCATTGATTGTGACGTCATTTGTAACTAACGCTATTCTATAGAGCGTATGCACTGACATCACAATGTCATAGCAACGCGTCATGGCCGCCATATTGGAGATATCAACGCCGACTGGCGCCAACGTTGACAACACCGTTTAGCGCGCTAGCAGAACACATTAGTGAAATTGGTAGATTATTCTGGGAAATGGCATCCAGGGAAATACCAGCCATAACTATGTGCTACCGGGATACTCTAAACTACTCCGAACGAACACGCTATGAAAAAAATTTAGAGATAATCGGGAATGAAGACCCATACACGTTTGCGTCTTTCGAGTGGTCCAACTGGGCAGACGATGTAAAGCTTTTACCACCAATTACGTATATGGACATGTTAAATTATTTAATTCATTCTGCAAGCGCAGCTCGTATACCATGGAAGATCTGCGTAACTATAAATCTTTGGAGGCTTATAACCAGTTTGTTTGCGGTTGGGTGTACGACAAACGCGTCTGCGTAAAGAACGATCACCCTGTTCTGTCTGCCAAGGTGAACTATGAACTTTACAATAACCTTTTTGAGTGATTTAATATAATTATATATTTTTATTTAGTATACTACATACATCAAGTTAATATTAGCAATTAGACAATTCTGACACATAAATATACCAGTAGTCAATTCACAAAAAAATATTAATTCACAGACAGGTAAATACTCGTACCATGGATAACGTTTTACTTATTTCATTAAATTTACCAGTTGAAATGTAATTTTACTTAGTAGATTTGGCCAATGATGTGATTACAATTGTAACATACTAATTAATTAGAAATGACATGGTGGCCATGCTTTATATTCTTTTTTTTTCTTTTTGCATAGGTAAAGCATTCACAGAGATTGACAGCAAAACCATTAAATCCTTGGATTATAGTAGGTAATGGTGCACGTATTTTAGCAGAACATTGTAATTGTATGGCAGGTCTAGGGGAAACTTGCACTCATGTGGCAGCTGTGCTGTTTGCTGTGGAAGCTATGGTTAAAATTCGTGACTCTCAAATCGCGACAGAAGAAAAAGCATATTGGCTAGTACCAGGTAAAGGGGTTCAGTATAGTGAAATCAGTGATATAGACTTTTCATCTACAAAACGAAAAAAGAAGGTGTTGGATACTTCAATTGCCAAACCCAAAAACCCAACACCAAGGAATGACAAGGCCAGTAGCTCATATCAAGTTGCCTCCGAGGAGGACATGTTTGATTTTTGTAAAAAATTACATATAACTGGTAAACGTTCATTAATTTTGACAACTTGTGAACCTTTTTGTGAAGACTGTGCCAACTGTTATTAAAGAAAATTTCCCAACTATTTAACTTCACTATTAGACAAACAGTGTTTTGAAATGAATTACTGTAATCTTGTAGATTTCTGTTAGTGATGAACAAGCTAAAGCAGTACAAATTGCAAACTGTGGTATAGATTTAGAGAGGGCAGAATAACTGCCTCAAAAATGAAAGCTGCTTGTCAAATGCAAGCTGATCCAGCATATCCTTCTTTAAGTTTAATAACAAGTATTTGTAACCCAGAAAGCACAACATTCACAACAAGGGCTACAGAATGGGGATGTGAGCATGACAAAGTGGCAAGAGACAGTTTTGTGGAAAAAATTGGGAAAATGCATGAAAATTTTGTTGTAAATGATAGTGGATTTGTGATAAACCCTGATTGTCCACATATAGGTGCCTCCCCTGATGGAAGGTCACT